GCACCCCCGTTTCTTGCTTTGCATCCCCGCGCCATCTTCCCTTCTTGCTGCGCGCATTTCCCCCATGCAGGACTCTTCGTCTTCCCCTTCGCCCATCTCGATGCTTACTCCGCGAAGTGATTGGCCGCGTAGTTGGGATGCTCGGATCAATGTGGAGAGCGGGAAACCGCGCACCACTTGAACGGACACCCCAGTCACGTAGGACCATGCCATCCCGCGGGTCGAACCCTCTAACTCCCCACCTTCCTCCTGTCCTGCTCATCTACAACCTGCGCTGCCCGCACCTCGCGCTAACAACCCGCCGCCTCCCGCGCTATAAATTCGCGCAACCCTCTCCTCTCTCTCTCTTTGATCTCGGCTGCAATGCTGTGCGAGSTATGCRCRAAAGTCCGTGGCGCCGAACAGGCTCGACGAGCCCAAGGAYGGGYGGAGTGACGACGTGGGGTGGACCCTCGGTAGTCTCGGGGCGAAGCAGTCGGAGGGACTGAGCAGTGGTGGGGATTGGACGCCGGCCGCGGCAGGGCCTTGTGGCTATGGTGGTYGGTGGGCTTGGGAGGTTTGAAGGCTGCGCCTGGGGGCGGCAGTTAATTGAAATTTTTGTGTACAAGAAGGACTCGCTTTTATCTCCATTGCTGCTTTGTCTATGCATGTCGTGTGTGTGAAGCCCCGAGTGATGAGAGCTGGTTGTGCGCATGAGTGATGTCGAAGGTCTATGGATGATTAGATGTCCTGTCAAGGGTTGTTGATTGCATGCATGTATGTGTGTATGTACTTGTCCGGGCGGGGACGGGGGAACTGAACTGGGGGACCGTCTGCTTAGGAGTACGATTGCGTTGATCCTGTTGTTCCCCTCCCCTCCGCGGCCTTTCCTGCGCGCACGCGCAATCTCGGCGTAACTCACTCTCTTTCTTGATCGCCTTCCTTTTTGAACTGATAGTCATCGCTTTTGAACTTCTCGTCCCTGTCCCGGTGACGTCAACCGCCTGTCTCCGCGCAGACGGTTGACGCCCCCGCAAGGGGAGAGAGCTTAGATTTCGTCATCTTTCCCCGACGCACCCACTTTTGAGAGAGAAGAGTTGCATCGGGTGTTGTATGGAGTCGGTGTTGGTTCAGATGACCGGGAGCGGGGGATCTTGCCCGTGTTCATCGCGTACCTCCGATCGTCTCATCCCGCTACTGACCTTCCCCAGCACAGATGACGACAACATCTACTGCGATGCGGACGTACGACGCGCGCTGAGGCGGACGGAGCAAGTGTGTTGGCAAGACCCGCCTCGGGCTCGTGATATAAGGGGGAAAGGGTTTGTCTTGATTGAACGTTTTGATTCCCCGACTCTAATATTGCCCTATACGGGATTAACTGTGTTGCCCTGGTCGGCCGCGTGGCGGCCGCGGTTTGATTGCCACTGGTGTCGCCAGGGGGACTCGTGTTCTTGGCGACGCTTGGTCCTGGGTTACGAGGGAGCGACTCGTTTCCCCGAGCTCTCCCGTAATGGGGGGGCGCTGCCCGCGCAATTTCGAATTCGGATGCCGGCGAGTCCTCCCGCCGTTTCACCCTCTCGGAAACTTCCGCGCGGACTTTGCGAGTCCGACGCCTAGGCTTGAAGACCTCGAACCACCCACCTCTACAGCAAAAACCCGATGGTCCGGTCACTTCGTGAGGCCGATGATGAGGCCGAAAGGCTTCGAACCCACCACCTATCCCCCAAACCCATGACGGCCGGAGTTCTGTCTTCCGCCGCCATGACCGTCTCCCCTTGATGCCTTTTTCCGTCCTGATGTACGACGGCAATTCGTTTTTGCGGAAACCCTTCTGATTTTATCGTTTCGGAGTGATCCGCCCCCCCCCCCACGGGACTTCGCGAGGACAGTTTGACTCCGGGGTAACCTCTAGCACGAAACGAGAGCCTCCCGTTCCATCCGGGAGACTCAACCCCTACGGCCAAAAATCCTCCGCCACGCCCCTCCTAGAACTCTGATCGGCGACCCCGTACGGGAAGCTGCGAGGGGGCGTGAGGTTGCGTATCACAAACTACCTTCTTCCCCCCGAATACAAAATACGGCCATTACAGATGTATATGGACTGAAAGATGCCCCAAATAGAGCTATTATGACTGTACGTTGTACTCAGGGAAAGAAGGTAGCAGGTGCACTGAGGCAAATGTTGAGGTCCGGCGGGAGGGCCCTCATGGGCTAACAACCAAA